TCGCTCGGTTCGCACGGTCACCCGATGCCGCCCGGCGAAGTTACGGAGAGGCACCTCTTTGACTCCGGGGAGGACATCAAGATCCCCATCCCGTGCCCGCTGCGGTTTCCATTGGGCACGCTTGTCGAGGTCCATGCCGGGAAGGCAGGCTGGCTGACGGCCAGGGTCACGCGGCAGTTTTATCGGCCGCACTCGGCAGATTGGCCCGCTGGCCAGCACTCCGCGTACGAGTTCAGGCTAGACCGCGGAGGCTACATGCATTCGCCCATCGACTGCCCTCGCTATGTCCGAGCTGTGCCGCCGTCGCTGCAGGCGTACATCGAGCGCTTCGTGCCACGGCCATCCCAGGATCCGACGGCGACGCAGGCTGTGCATGACATCATTGAGTACGCCAACCAGCGGGGCGTGACGGATTCCGTTCGCAGGACGATGGCGCCTCCACCGCTGCAGGACGGCCTGGGGTGGCTCGCCCGCCGCTACGCGGACGTCGACTCGCTCGTCGACTTCATCGAGCGAAGCCACGTGTGCGCATCGTGCGGCAAAGCGTTGCCTCGCGACGCCTTCTCGGGTGCGCAACTCAAAAGGAGTGCAGCCCTTCGACGCTGCAGGCAATGCGCGGGGGGCAGCAGATCAGCGGAATCATCCCGCATCGCGTCCGCCGAGGGGCGCTTTCTTCTGCAGCAGCAGCAGCAGCAGGAGGAGCAGGAGCGGGAGCGGCGGAGGCTGGAATGGGCAGCAGCACGGAAGCGGGAGCGGGAGGAGCTTCTGCAGCAGCAGCTGCTGCTGCTGCAGCAGCAGGAGGAGGAGCGGCGGGATGAGGAGGAGCGGCGGGAGCGGCTGGCGCAGGAGCGGCAGCAGCGGCAACAGCAGGGGCGGAAGCCGCCGCAGGCGCCGCCGGTGGAGCTCGCGCAGGAGATATACGACGCGGCGTCGGGCGACCCGGCCTTGCCCGCCACGCGGCGGCAGCTGAAGAAGCTGCTCGCGCGGCTTGACAAGGAGAAGTCACTAGTCCGCAAGCGCGAGATCCGCTCGTGGCAGTCGCCGGCGGACGGTTCGACGGCGCTGTTCGCGGCGTGCCAGCGGGGAAACCTGGCGGCGGCGGAGCTGCTGCTCAGGGCGCACTTTTCGGTCAACAAGGCCCCGCAGGGGGGCGGCACGCCGCTGTACGTGAGCTGCGAGGCGGGTAACGTCGAGCTGGCACGGTGGTAGCGGTGGCGTGGGTGGCGGCGATGGTGGTGGCGGCAACGGCGGAGGGGGCGACGGACGAGGCTGAAATGGCGGGCTCGGCGGCAGAGGCGGTGCGCTCGGTGGCGGCGAGGGTGGTGATGGCGGCGGCGGCGACGGCGAGGACGACTGCGGCGGCGAGGATGGCGGCGGTGGCCACGGTCGCAACGCCGAGCCGAGACGCTGATGGACGGCGGCGCGAACCCGGCGATCGCCGTCGGCGGCCTCACGCCGCTGGCGCGCGCGCGGCAGCTGCACGGCGAGGGCGCCGAGATAGTCGAGCTCCTCGAGCAGGTGTCAGGGGCAGAGCAGGAGCCGCCGCCGCCGCCGCCGCCGCCGCCGCTTGGAGAGGCGAGCCAGGGCGTGCAGCCGCCGAGGCTCCTCCTCGACCTCGCCAGCCGCGGTGCCAACACCATCGACACCGCAGCCGCAGCCGCCCGGAGGGCGGTCACGTCGATGTTCGGGACGATTGCCGAGGGAGGCGAGGTCGAGGAGGGCGAGGAGGAGGGCGAGGAGGAGGGCGAGGAGGGCGAGGAGGAGGGCGAGGAGGAGGGCGAGGAGGACGAGGGCGCAAGCGAGGAGACGCGGCGCATGCTGCAGCAGCTCGAGAGCGGCTACTCCACCGCGGCGGAGGTGCGCGATGCACTGCTCGCGCTCTCGGACCTCGAGGGATACGACGAGCAGCTGGAGCGGGGCCACGCGCGCTTGGAGGCGCTCCGGGCGAGGCTTTCGCCGCTCCACGCGCTCGCGTCCCGCCTGCCCGACGACCTCTGCTCGCCGCCGCGGCGGAGCTACACGGCCCATCACGTGCTCATCGTCGACGCCTCCGCTTCAATGCGTAACACCGACGTCGAGGCCCCCCCCCTCCCCCCTACCCGCCCGCCTACCCGCCCTCACCCCCACCCACCCACCCGCCCACCCTCCTCGTACCCGCCCTCATCCTAAATGCCAGCTCGACGCTTCGGTCCGCAGGTGGTCAGCGGTGAGCCGCCCATCTCGCGCGCCGAAGCGGTGCGCCGCGTGCTGCTCGACAACTTTCTGCGCCGGCAGCTCGACGCGGGGGCCGTCTCCGCCGACCGCGTCTCCCTCATCAAGATCCAGTCCGAGGACGCCGCGGGCGCCGCTGTGCCTTTTGCGCTGCTCCCGCTCGACGCGACGCTCGCCGAGCGGATCGACGCCGCGCTGGACGACCCTCGCTCGCACGGCCCGTACCTGCCCGCGCTCTCCAAGCTCGTCGAGCTCGTGACCCTAGATGCCGAAGAATTGTCTATGGGATGCAATGCCACGGGGTCACATCCTCAGCCCGGTGTCTCATATCCAGGCTCGTGACGCACGCCGACGCGCACTTGCTACCGCACGCAAAGACGTCGGTGCTCTTCCTCTCCGACGGCCGTCCCTCCGACCGTGTCGACGAGCGCGAGCTGCCGCAGCTGCTGGGCGGCCAGCTGCGGGCGCTGCACTCCGCGACGCTCGGCCGACTTGCATCGTTCCAGCTGCTCGGCTTCGGCGACGCGCACGAGCGCATGCTCAAGTCGATGGCGGCCATGGTGCCCGGCAACCTCGCCACGTTCAACGTCGTGTCGGGCCGCGCCGTGCTGCACCGAGCACCTGCTGCAACTGCTCCGGGTTGACCGCCGCTGCCAGCCCCTCTCCCCTGCCAGTCCTGCCGGCCGTTGCCAGCTCCTCTCCCCTGCCAGTCCTGCCGGCCGTTGCCAGCTCCTCTCCCCTGCCAGTCCTTCCGGCCGTTGCCAGCCCCTCTCCCCTGCCAGTCCTGCCGGCCGTGCCAGCCCCTCTCCCCTGCCAGTCCTGCCGGCCGTGCCAGCCCCTCTCCCGTCTGACCCTCTCCCGCGATGGGCGGAGCTCTAGACCACCACCGTCGAGCTCCTGCCGCTGCAGTGTGGCATCAGTGGGGGACGGCCTGCCCACCGCACCCGCCCCAGCCCCCAACCTTGCCTGCTCAGCATCACCGCCTCACCACCAGCGGAGCCGCCGCCTCACCACTGCGATCCCAGCCGCCGCCATCCCCGCCCCCGCCGCCCCCGCCACCGCTTGCACCCACCCCCTCGGCGCGCCTCCGCCGCCGTGGCCTCCCGCCGCGCCTTGCGCGCCACTGGTGCCGGTGCCGTCGCTTGGGAGCATGGTCAAGATCGGCGTGTGACGTGTCTTCAGCATGCTCAGCTCGAGGTCCGCGTCGAGGGGGAGACGTTTGCTGCCAGAAAAATGCACGTAGGCGCGGGGCGAGGGCGGCGGCGGCGCGGGCGGCGGCGGCGGGGGCGGCGGCGGCGGGGGCGGCGGCGGCGGGGGTGGCGGCGGCGGGGGCGGCGGCGGCGGGGGTGGCGGCAGTGAGGGTGGCGGCAGTGAGGCGGCGGGCGGGGAGGGCGTGGCGGCGTGCCCTGTCTGGGGCCCGACTTGCGACGGCATCGACTGCGTCATCGCCGACGCGCACCTCCCGGAGCTGCTGCTCGAGGTTGGGGACTGGCTCTACTTTTCCGACATGGGGGCGTACACGTCGTGCGTCGGCTCCAACTTCACCGGAATGGAGCTGCCCGACGTCCCCTACCTTGCGGGCCACGCGCCTTTCCCGGCCGCAGCCGCCCCGAAACTGCT